ATATAGTAACATTTGAAAAAGGTCACAGCTACCTGCTAATAACATATGCTGGGCTAGGGATATAGCTCAGTGGCATAAGCGCCTGCCTGGCAAGTGCGAGGTCCTAAGTTCTATCCCTGGTACCACAAACAAAAAACAAAGCAAAAAAATATGCTGGCAGGAAAAAGCCCTGATCAGGTTAAAGAGGTCATGGCCAAGTTAATGAACAGTAGAGTGTCCAGTCCTTCAGTGTGAAGGCCTGGGTGTTAATTAATGGGAAAACTATGCATTAATAGAAAACTATGTAGGACGATGGCAGTGCAGTCAGGAAAACTAATAACTTTATGCTGCATACGCACAGCTTTTTTTTTTTCCTAAGAGCACTCTTCAAGTGCTGGGTCCTCCTTCCCACTCGGCATTCATTTCTAAGTTCTTTCTGCACTCCACTTAGGGCCGTGTGGACGCCTTTCCATTTCCTTGAGTCCACAGCACACCCAAGCCACTCACAGCCTTGGACAAGATGGTTTGTCTGCTGCTTTCATGAGATGGAGACCCGTGCTTCTGAAGCTTCTTTCTACCTCACTAGTTCTGTGTGTTCCCCAACACCTTTATTCTTAGGCGCCTTTTCCTTAAATGCCCTTCATGGGGCCAGGGAGATGGCTCAGTACGTTTCTAGGACTTCTTCCATGACTTTGCCCCACCAATTTTCTTCTCATTTCTGAAAACTTGTACCAGTTCCTTGCCTCACCCAGCAGTCAAAGTGAAGGGTCTCGCTGACAGATTCATCATCACGTATCTCCTCAGTGTTCTCACGGGTACGTCCCTGGCCTCCTCCCACCTGGCTTCTACACTACATCCTTAAGTGAAGCTGCCTGGCCTTGGCTCACCACAGACCACCCACATCACCACACCTAGCAGGCTTCCTGCCCCTACTTTATCTGTCTGTAGTAGCTTATGTCATGCACTCCTGTGGCTGACAGTCTTTAATACACCTACTACCAAGCTCATCCCAAACTTTTGGTCATTATAAATGCATCTCCTAACATGTAATGATTTGCCATTTCCTATCAAGCCTACCTTCACAAAGCATTTGGACCCATCCTGTCTTCTTTAAATGCACCACACCTATCCTTCATGACTGTGGTACACCTTCTTAGACTACCGCAGTTGTCGCCCACCTACCCCGTCAGGTTTCAGTCTCCTCCCTCCTGTGTGGCACAGGAGCTCAGCGTCTCTCCCCCCACTTACTACTGAATGAAGCCCGTCCTGCCCTGGCACTGCGTACAAGGCCACTCGTGGCATCCTTCGGACCAGTCACTGGGACTGTCCTAGTGCAGGGCTTCCTGTCTTGCTGTGCTCACTCACACTTGTGCTTCTACCTTTCTACCCATACTCACAAAGGCCCCGCAAGATCTCAGTTCTTTAAAGCCTTCCTGCATCTGTCCAGCCAAAAGAAATCTCGTCTGCTCCCTCCTATTTTCAGGAATGGATCAGGTATATTTCTAGCCAAGTCAAGCTCTACTAATAAATAGAATTTATGCTAAAAATTACTTTATCAAGCGGTTTCCTAACAAGCTTGTTAGGATTCCTTGTGTGTTGAGAGTTACTGTCCTTACTAGGCTAAGATAGTCTCTACCGAGTTGCATAAAATGATTCATGAACAGTTCTAAATAAGTTACTAAAAATTCTATTTCTAAAAGTCACAGAAAGTAAATTATCATTGTACCTCACTTTTGGTATTTTGATATTGTTTAAAAAATATTTGAATTAAAAAGATGCCAAAAAAAAAAAAAAAAAAAGATGCCAAGTCCACAAACAATGCTATCAAAAAAAACCCTGATTTCTTCAGGTATTCATAAAAAGAGAAAGAGATGGTGCCAATACATTAATTAGCTTTAAAGCCAATAATCAGAGGAGGACAAAGATATCCAGCAAATTAGGAAACAAAGATCATCATAATGACTATGTATTTAGTACAGGTTCTACAGGGTCTTACTACACAGATTGGACTCGTAGTGATCCTCCTATTTCCAGCCTCCCAAGTGCTAGGATTACAGGTGCCCTATCTCTTTAGTCATCTCAGCATGCCCCAGAGGTGGGGCCAGCACAGCATGTGGTGCCGGGGATCGAACCCCAGTCCCTGTGTCTCTCTAGGCAGATGCTGAGCTATCTGGCTGGCCCATCATCATAATGATTTTAGATTCAAACAAGAAAATACAGTAATCAACTTTTTAACCTAAGTAGTGATGCTTCTCAACAAAACTTTAGATGAATTTTTAGAATTATTACAGTTCTTGCTTTATATATAGCTCAGCATAGACTACATTGTTTTATACATTTATTCAGTTTGGCAAATTGACAGTCTGCACAAAAACAGATGAGTAAGTCATGTGTCTAGCTCAAGGTCTTGCTGTTTAAATTTATGAGTAAATTTAAACCTTTTTCATTGTGAAGCTTCTAAAATTTTGTCTCACGAAGTGCCTATATTCAAATGTGCTTTTTTCTTCTCTCTCAGATAGCCATGGGCATATCGAGCCCTCACTGAAACCTGTCTGGGACTTGGCTTTTCTTGGCAGCTCTTATGTCATGTGGGAGAAGACAACTCAGTTTTTACACTACTACTTGGTCCAGCTTAGTGGCGTGAAGCAGTGGGTAAGGAACATGGAAATTAACTGGATGAGAGACACAATTGGTGCAATGTTCTTAAGGGTAAATTAATGTAGATTTCTAACTCCATGATAGTTTTCATTGTACTTTATTCCTTTAACAAATATTCAAGAGCCTGCAGTGGGGTGTTAAAAGAATTAGTGGACAGAAACAACAAGATGGCTGCCCGTAAAGAGATTAATTCTAAAGAGAAAAGATCAGAAAGGCAGTGAACTAATAAATATGTAATAAATGTGGTAGGTGCTGTGGCGAAAAAGTAGGGAAAGGGAATGCAGGGTTTTGATAGAATGGCCATCTCTATAGTTTTAAAGTAGGGTTAATTTGAGCAGAGGTGACTTCGAAGAGGACTTTGAGAGGGCGTTTTTAAGCAGAGGAAACTCGGGGGTCGCATAACTAGTTAGCATGCCAGAGTCTCGTTCGTTATCGGAATTAACCAGACAAATCGCTCCACCAACTAAGAACGGCCATGCACCACCACCCACGGAATCGAGAAAGAGCTATCAATCTGTCAATCCTGTCTGTGTCCGTGTTGGGTGAGGTTTCTCATGTTGAGTCAAATTAAGCCGCAGGCTCCACTGCTGGTGGTGCCCTTCCGTCAATTCCTTTAAGTTTCAGCTTTGCAACCATATCACCCCCTGGAGCCCAAAGACTCTGGTTTCCCAGAAGCTGGCCGGTGGGTCATGGGAATAACGCTGCCACATCGCCAGTCGGCATCGTTTATGGTCGGAACTACGACGGTATCTGATCGTCTTCGAACCTCCGACTTTCGTTCTTGATTAATGAAAACATTCTTGGCAAATGAAGCAGAGGAAAGTGAAGCAGCAGGGTGACTGATGGATTGGAGAGATGGCACCGTGGTAGTGTGGCTGAGCAGAATGAGCAAGGGGCCTGTGCCAGGGGAGAACATCAAATGGAGGAGGGCAAGAGGAGGGTATCTGTTCATGGAACACCTTGAGGGCCATTGAAAAGGCCTTGTCTTTTACGTTGTCTTTTGCCTATTAGGGATATTTTAATTTTTATTTATTTATTCTTTGCGGTACCGGGGATTGAACTCAGGACCTTGCACTTGCCAGGCAGGTGCTTATTCTACTGAGCTATCTCCCCAGCTCCTATTAGGGTTTTTAGCAGAATCATTCTGGCTGCTATGTTGAAAACAAAGTGTAGGGAGATAAAGGAAGAAGCAGGAAGACCAATAAAGTACTGCAAACACCTAGGCTAGGCCTGGTGGGATGGCCACAAGAGCAGCAACAGAGGTGGTGAGAAGTGTTTGGATTCAGGTAGACTAACAGTATTCACTCATGGGTTAGATAAGGATATCAGAAAATGGAGAGTTGCCAGGGTTATAGCTGAGTGGCACAGTGCCTGCCTGGCAAGCACAAGGTCCTAAATTAGATTTCAGGTATACATACATAAAAAAGTAAGAGTTAAGATGATCCTTAGGAGTTGGGCCTCAAACGAGGACAGAGTTTTCATTAAACAGGCAAGACTACAGGAGGAACAGATTCATGCTAAATTCTGTATCCAAGTGGAGAATCTGTATAGTCAGCTAGACATCCAAGTCTGAAGAGCAGGGGAGAGGAGTACACTGCAGTTGTGTCTGTGTGCATAGGAGTCAAAGTCACAGCACTGGATGTGATCACAGGTGATGGTGTACAGAGAGTAAGTTTTGCAAGGACTGAATCCTGGAACGCTTCTAACTTTAGATCTCAGTCAGGAACCCAGAGAGCTCACCTGGAGGGAAATCAACAAAAGCTCAGTTGCTTTAGGAGGCAGATGTCAAGGTGGAAACTAGCAGACCTTGTGTGCTACCTGCTTCTGTCTGCTCAGTGAATGCGGCAAAGCCATCAGCGGACAGCAAGGATGAGAGGCAGCACTGGGACTACGGAGAAGCGCCATGCAGCCCTGCAAGCCCGAGAGCTTGACTTCCAAGCACCAGTCACACATAGCCGTGTCGGTGTACATGCCAAGTGAGGGAAGCAAAAGAGCTGGCAAAAGAACTATGTTTCAGTCAGGATTCAGACTCCTGTCAGCAAGTGTGATAGGGACAGAGGAGTATTTTCAGAATAAGCAAAATCAACTTCTCTGAGAGGCAAGCTGAACCAATCATGAGTACCAGTTTTTAAAATCCTTGTTTTTAATAGATCCATCCATGAGTGGATTATCATGTTCTGAGTATGGAGACTTGCCCAGCATTAAGTCAGCATTTTTAATGCCAATGGTAGTCTGCAGTGCCAATGGTAGCCTCCAAAGGCCGCTTGGAGGCTAGAGCCTCATTTTTTTTTTTTAATCTTTCCCTCTTAGAGGAGAAAAGAGGGAATTTTAATAGAAATTATCATTTATTCTCAATAAAATTATGGAAAAAAATAAAAAAGAAATTATCATCTAACTGAATACTGCTGTTAAGACATAGTTCTTTTGCCAGATAAAAGCTTCTCTCTTGCTCACTGTAAATGAGGACACCCATGTAAACCACAGTTTTAAAAAAAGAATAATATATCACTAAGAACTTTAGATTTCTTTTACTATGCAGAGTTTGGATTTTAGGAAATAGTTGAATATACAACTGGCTTGGGTCACATGAAGCAAATCATCTCTTGGGAGCCATGGAATGAAGACTCACAAACTGACTGACAGGCTCTGGAAACGAGTAAACCACTGGAAAAGAGGAAAGTCTGATTGCACGTCTGACAGGCATTTTGGCTTACAGTTCTTTAAAAAAAAAGTAGTGCACACATACATCCACAAACGTTTTCAAATTCTGTGTTAAGTGATCACTAAGGGCTTCCATCTTTCAGCAAAAGCAAAACTATTAATGTTTTTTAAAAAGTCACTAGGAGCAGATTTAAGTCCTATTCTGGGAGACCAGCAACAAAGTGATAGGGCTGAGGAGCCAAGATACCACACAGGCAGTGACTTAGTGCTCAGGAACGTATATAGTTTGCTAGAACTTTCTGTGTGGAAATTATTAACTTTACACTTAGGGCAAAACTCAGCTTTTCATGCAAGTAAGTGCAAGATTATAAGCTCATAGCCAAAAGTGAACAAGTCCCAGGAGAAGACTGTGTCAGCAAGTGTGCAGTGCTGACTCTGAATCCTGTGCACAGACCTGACTCCAGTGTGCTCTTCTCTCCTGCGCTTCAGATTCGTATGTCTAGCTGACTATACAGATTCTCCACTTGGTTACAGAATTTAGCATGAATCTGTTCCTCCTGTAGTCTTCCCTATTTAATGAAAACTGTGCCCTTCTAGTTGGAGGCCCAATTCCTAAGAATCATCTTAGCTCTTACTTTTTTGTGTGCATATACCTGGAAGAGAGGAGGAATTTAAATACAACTACAAATATGACCCATATTCCTGGCAGTCAGTCACTGCTTCAAAACAGAAGGACTTAGGTTACTCTCAATACTTCACTGACAAAGGAGATACATTGGCTAGGAAAAAAAAAAGGTGATTTTCCCTGCATCCTTAGCCTTTAACCTGAATTAATGAAAGTAAAACAATACTTTCAACACTTAATCAGACCTAGATTTTGCAAGTACCCCAAACCATCTAACCAACAGTACAGTGCTACAATCAGCTCTAAGCTTTATGTCTCCATTAGCCAAAGAATCGATCTCATCTACTTGATCTATTCAGCTTTAATCCTACTCACTACTAAAGCATACTGCTTCTGCTAGGAATTATTCTCCTTTGGAGAGGGTTGGTAGAGAAGATAGGGGGTGGATCAGAAGGGAAGAAGCAAAACAGTTTTTTCATGACAATTAAAGTGCTGACTCAACAAAAATGTAACAATGAATCACCATCAATTTGGTCTATAAGGACTTGGCATTTCTGTTGATTTGAAAAGAAGCCAAAGACATATTTCTGAGTTATGTTAAAAATAATGACTTCTTGGCAGAACCTGACCAGATAAGGGCACTCCGGTCTTGCAATACTTTGCCAGATTGGGAAGTGAGGTCTCCTGTAGTCCTTTAATACACTATGCATTTTTTTTTTGTTGTCGTTGTTATAAGATTGCTTATTCCTGGAGGAATACCTTACAAAAAAAGTGGCAATGTTAACAGTATGATCTGCAGCTTTACTGAAGAAGGCCTTAAACAAATGGTTCAGTATTTCCAACAACATAACAGCTAACTTGTGCAGAACATCTCAAGAAAGATGACCATTTCCTCCTAAGGTCAAGACAATCACCATCTGGGCGTGGTAGCACTTGCCAGTAATCCCAGCGCTGGGGAGGCTGAGAGAGGAGCATTGCTGAGTCTGAGCTGAGTTATAAGACACAGTACTAAATAAATAAAACACTTTTAAAAATTAAAAGAAAAAAAGATTTCAGACAGTCACCAAGCTGGAAATATAGCTCAGAGGCACAGTGTCTGCCTGGCAAGTGCCAAGGTCCTGAGTTCAATCTCCAGTACAAAAAAAAAAAAAAAAAAAAAGGCAGACCAACTGAGATAGTCATGAAGTGAAGGTCAAATAAGGCGACATACAGGTCTCCTCATCCTCCAATGCCACCAGACCGAGCCATCCCTGTGGGGCCTGCCCAGGTCCCACCCCAGGGCCACAATCTCCAGAATCTCCAGTCATTTGTAATTTGCACATAAGCTTTCTACTTTGTCCCATGAACTTTGTCATCTTGAGCTACCTATAATACCTAATACAATGCAAAAACTACATAATTTTCATACTGTACTGTTTTAAGGAATAACAAGGAAAAGATGCCACACATGCTTAGGACAGACATGTTTTTTATTTTATTTTTTTATTTTTTCTTTTTTTGAGGAACCAGGGATTGAACTCAGGCCCTTGCACTTGCCAAGGAAGTGCTTATTCCACTGAGCCATCTCCCCAGCCCCAGACATGTTTTTTAAAAAATACTTTCATTTTTTGGTTGTGTGCATGGATGTGGAACACACATATATGGATGGCTAACTATAACTGGAACCTCGATACCGTGTTCTCTTGTGAGACACTGAATTTTCTCTGATGCAGTCTCTGATTTTGCAGCATATACCCTTGATGTCTGAACACTGCCAAACAGGAGAGATCTACGAAGAAGCCACCATTTAAAAAGCAGTCTAGCGCCGGGGAGATAGCTCAGTAGAATATGCACTTGCCTGGCAAGCGCAGGGTCCCAAGTTCTATCTCTGATACTGCAAAAAATAAAAAAAAGCAGTCTATCTCTCATTCACCCAAATTTTTATTTTCTTTCTACAATACCTTCCTCACCTGATATAAACATACTGTTGTATAAAAGTCTCCATCAGGCTGGGGAGATGGCTCAGTAGAATAAGCACTTGCCTGGCAAGCACAAGGGCCTGAGTTCAATCCCTGGTTCCTCAAAAAAATAAAATAAAAGTCTCCATCACTGTGAACTAAGCTACTGTACTGCAGTTGGTAATTTTTAATAGTGGTTCCATGTTTGGAGTGCCTGTCATTGTGGTCTTCTGAATATGGGTGGCTTGTCATGACATGCCAGTTACTGCTAAGATGTCTCTCGGGTAGGTGGATGTTCAAGAAGAAGGGGGT